ATCTGTGCCTTCTCTTTTTCATTTCCCCTGTTTTTCCCTCCTCTTGTTCCTTTCTCTACTCTCCCTTCCCTCTTCTTTTCTCCCCTCTCCACTTTTTCTCCCCTTCTTTTTTCCCTTTTTTATTCTGCATCCTGCTTGCTTTCTCTTTTCCTTCTCTTCTTCCATTCCCCACCCTATCCTAACATTAGAAAGCAGCTGCAAGTTGAAACTTCAAAAAAAAACATACTGAAGAGCTCCCTTATGTATATTGACACATTTTTCATTCTCAGCTTTTCATGGAGGATACAAAACAAGTCTTCAAAAAATGCGTGTGCAGATGAGTGTGCATAAACACATCCGTGCACAAACAGCATGTGAAAACACAGGAAGAGCACGTTTGCATGCTGTGTGCTTCTGCCTGCATATAGTGCTCTTTCTTTGACAGCCTTAGGGAAATTTGCAAGCTGGCTCCTGCAGGTTCGCTCCGTCCATTACAAACCATGTCAGGATGAATAATGGGGGCAGGAGGTTCTGCCAGAGGGTCATGGAACAGCAAGTGCGTAGAAAGGCAGGATTGTCCAAGGGCTGCACACGGTATCAGCCTGGGTTTGAAATGCAGCGCCGGACAGAGACAAAGATCAAGTTATAGCCTCAGAGGCCAGAAGAAGCACAAGGCCCCTTTTCTGCCTTAGTACAATAGAGTGGTTAGCAGCCAGAAGTGAATGATTACGTCCTGGTATACAGATGATACGCTATTCCTCGGACTTGAGGGTATTTTTCCTGGAAACCTCTTTCTTATGTCTCTTTGCTCCAGCTAGTGAAAGATGAACACATTTCACTCAATACTTCAAACTGCTAGAACGATGTATGTTTGGGAGTGCAGCAGAAACCTTCTTGGGCCCAAAGTTTGAACATGAAAGGCTGGAAAAAGTAGTAGAGAAAAAAACACCAAGGAAAGGTTAGCACAAGAAATAGAGCAGAGAGAAAAATCCAGATGAAAAAATACATTCACTCCATACAGTATTATACCCACAAAGGATGTTATATGCTAGGAGCTGGAAGCCCTCCGTGTGCCAAAATCCAGGTCATTCACGCAGCAGTAACTGGTTCCCCTGAACATGGTCATTGTGACACAGCCAGTTTTTTCCACAGGACATCCCAGATCATTCTTCCCTGGTCCCCATCCAAGCCTGAATTTTTCTGCCTGTCTCCCACAGCCTGTCCTTGTTCTGCCTCATTCTGCACAGCTGCTTCCACAACGGAGTTTCCACTTCTCTTAGACAAGGTCTTGCTTAAATTCTGAACCTCTTCTAGTACCCTGATGATCCTTGCCTCACCAACGACTTCAGCTGCTTCCCCTTCTCTCCTATGCTCTTTCCATCTCCCAGTCCCATCCTTCTAGCTCTGTTCCCAAGAGTAGACTGCTCTTCCCCACTGGTTTGCAGCAGTATCTCAGGCCCCAGATCTCCTGCATGTGTTCCCATGCCAGGTTTCTTGTCTCTATTTGCTCCCTTCGCAGATTCAGCTCCCAGCATTACTCGTGCACTTGAAATCTGGTTGAATCTCCTCCCAGCCAGCAGCAAAACTGAAGCCACAATGATGACAGGAGGGATAGACAACCTTTTGTCTCCTTTCTAGCCTCACATTACCAAGAAAGTCATTAGAAAGGTTCATGATGAAATACATCTTCCTCCTTTTTGTATAGGCACTGCAACAACGCACAGCTCAAATGGACCCATCAGACAATTTACCAAACTCTCACCACTGCAAACAAGGATTGTTTTTCACCCTCTACAAAACATATAACAAGGCTGATTTCTTCATTTTCCCATGCTAACAGCAACAGGCTCTTTGTCAGCCTCAGAATATTGTACACAACCATTCTAAGAACGAGGAGCCTACTTTAAGCAAGCTTTCTAAACTGCCAATGGTGTAATTCATGCCACTCCTATTAGGCACCTACTTTCAGATGGGCTGACTGAACACCCCCATCTTCCTCCAGAGGTGATGGAGGAAGTTCATCCCAGACAAATCAGACTCCCAAAAGACTGTTTTCTCTTATCTCATTCTCGAACACGGCTGAACCATTTCAGCTGATGCGATCCCATCAAGAACTCAGCCTGAGTCATATGCCTGGCACCAAAACCACCAGAGAGGATGGTTAGCAGTTGGCAATATCGTTAGCAACTAAGCCTATGGTCTTTCAACATGAAATGCTGAGCGTGTACAAAGAGGTACTAGCCCCACCCTCCTCCTCAAACAGGACACTAGGAGGCAACTCTACCCTGCCTCCATGTGCATTTGCTCTTCAATGTACAGCAGGGCATCTCTTTACAGAGGAGAATGTGGCATGCAGACAATTGTGTTTTTCAAAATGATTGTCCCTTTTGAGGAGAATGAGGGAAGGAGGAAGGGGGGGGGGGGAGTGTTAAGTAACTTGAAATTCAGTTACAATGAAAAATGTGCATGAAAAGTGACTTTTTGAATACTGTGAAGTTTTTGGCTTAACAAATCTTCCAGTTCTACAGGATATACAGATACATATTACTCACAGTAACATTCTGCAGGCTCCATACTATGCTGCATTACCAGGCAGGCTTCCTGATAAATAATGAGAAAGCTGCTGAGTGTTTAAAACAGATTGCAGCAAGTTCTTCCAGGGGAGCCTGCAGAAGTGCATTGTGCATCTGCATGCTTTGGCGTGGGGAAAACAGCAAGTTTTGTTTCTTGTACAAAAACAAAAGATAGTAGGACCAAGGAAGTAATGCTCTCCCTACCCCAGTCTAGTTTAAGTCAGCACAACACTGAGTCATGCCTTCAGTGTGTAAGTAATGAAATGCACTGCTACAGACTCAACCCTGCCTTCTGTTTCACTGGATGCTTAGCAGAGTCCCACAAGGAGCCTCAGATGCTTTGGGGTGATGAGTTTACCAGATATTGAAGTTGCTTTGCAGCACTGGCTCATTTGCAATACAGAGACAGGTCAGGAGAAACCTACTAATTATAGTCTATGCAAAAAAAAAAAAAAAAGGGGGGGAGGAAGAGCAAGAAAGGCTGCTTTGGTGCCATTTACTTTTGGCACCAGGGACACCACAGTGAGACATCTAGCCACGGTTGTTAAATTCCACCTGCTCCTTTGGTGAGAGCAAGCAGTATCCGTCTCTTGTTATCAGTGGAAAATGAAAGAGAATAAGTTATACACAACCTTGGAGTCCTGCAAAATCTTAGATGATTCCAGATATTATCAGACTAACCAGACAGCTTTATGGACACATTACCAACCTGAGACAGGCCTGGACTTCAAGAGCAGCTGCCCCTCTTACCACAACAGTGGCAGCCATAACTGGTCTCATTCAGCAGGAAACCCTCCTCAGAAGGGATAACCAATGATATTACAGGGGAAGTGGAAGACACCAAGTCACCTTTCAATATGTGACTGTCTCACAGCGGGTTGGTGATACTCCTGCCTCACAGGAACAGGACTGGGGCAAGAGGCTGTGGCCACTGAAGGTCCTGAGAGCAGTGCTGGGTGAAAGCCAGGAATAGGGGTCCTCACAGAAAGACAGGCTCACGGCTAGCGAAAAAGCTTTGGATGTACAATATAGGCAAGAAATCCCCTCTGGAGGAATAAGCTTGCTCTGTAAGCAGCTTTCACATAGCAGCCTCAGCTATACCTTCCTTGGCTACTCCAAAGCATTTGCCTTGGAAGATGTGGCCTCTAACAATCAAAATACCAAACACTTCAGGTTCTATTGCAAGCCCTCCTGCCCTGGAAAGAGCTGATGAAGGTCCCATTGTGCTCCTAGGTCTGTGAGCTCCAAAACTTCATGCCTGTGGCTTAGTGCCTATAGTAGCCACGCTCTTCCACCTCTCTCCACAATCCCACAGCCCCCTGGAGGAGCCCTCTGACTCATTTGCAGAGACTCCCCCCCCAATTTTCCTCTGCACAACTTGCTTCATGACGTCCAGAAGGGATTTTTACCTCCTGGCAAACAAACAAAGCAGCTCCTTAGGGCAGAGCTGCCAAGGGGTCAGCCAGGATGGGAGGCAGCACTGCCACATCCCATTGTCCACATTACAGACTGATTTGTACTCTGACTTTGGGGGAGATGCAAAAGATCACCAGATTACCATTGCTTTGCTCACTATTCAGTCACCCAAAGGCAAGCTCAGATCTTCATTCACCACCCTGTAGGGCCTCCCTGGAAAGCATGAGAGCTGCATGCTATCTTTGTCCTATTGTTTGACATCTTCAAGTCTCCCAGCTCTGCTTGGGCTTTTACCTTCTCCTATTCTTCTCTGCAAGGAATTCCCATTACCCATGACCAGGCCTGTGCAATAAGACAACACTTTATTTTTTTTTTTAAAGGGAAGAGCAATGTGTAAGTCCATTACTTTACGTAATCACTCCAACTCCCCTCTGTTCAAATCTCGAGTCAGGATTTTACAACGCTGGAGTGAAGAGACCTTTATCACCTCCCTGCAGGTGAGCTGGCCCCTCACCCAGTTTAGCGGGGAAAAAAACAAGGGCACAGCTCCCACAAAGCACGAGCACTGCCATGAGTGTCATAGGTCCCAGTACTGAACATCTCCCCCAGATTCTCCCCTACCAGAGCACATGATGAGCAGGAGGTCCCTCCTCATCCCAACAGGCTTCCTTCCAGCCACTGCCCTACTCAACTGGAGGAACACAGCCTCCATCCAAGAGGCTGATGGGCAAGGACTGACACCCCAGCCTGTGATGCAGGCACCCATACCATTGAGAAGCTGCCCCTCCCTGACAACAACAACAACAAAAAAGGGTCATTTTTCTTCTCCTCTCCTCCTCTTTCCCCCCTCCCTTTCCAGAAAGCCTTGGTTTCATCCCACCGTGGAACGAAAACAAATGTTCTAAACCGCAACATTTTTCACGAACCGGAATTTCTTGCAGTCTGGCCAGCCCTGGTGGATCAATACCAGGCATTTCTTTCCTCCTCTGCTCTGGCCTCTCCCTTCCAGCCTCCCCCCCCCACCCCACTCACCGAGGGGAATAAGGGAGCCAGAGGTGTCGAATGGAGGAGTCGGGAACACTCCAGCTCAGTTTTAAAAGGGGCAGAAAAAACACTGGCGTCAGCCGGAGCACCAGGGCAGGCGCTGAGACCTTGTTTTGGATTTCTCAGAGACTGTCCCTCGGGAGAGCTGTCTTCCCCACTCCCCGGGGCCCCCCCCCCCTCCTTTTTTTTTTTCTTTTTTTTTTTTTTCTTTAATGCATAGTTTTGTTTGTAAGTTAAAAGTCTCAGGATCTGCAGTCTTTGAAGCGTGGTCAGCCTGCCAGATGGAATTAGTCAGTGCCTTTCAGTCGGAAATCCCAGGCAGATGAAGTGGGATGGAAGGACAGTGTTTTTCTCATTTACCAGGAAGCCCTCTATCTTGAGCCCCACAAATTCAGCCAGAGAGCGCTCCACAGGACCCCAAAAGTAGACAGGTCTGAGAGCAGGGAAGCAAGCAAGCAGGCAGAGGACTGAACCTTCCACATGCGTAAATTGGTGTGGCACTGCTGAAGTCAGTGGCCCCTGAAGCAGATTTATATTGATCAAGATCCAGCCCAGATGTTTTTGCTGGTATTTGCCTGAAGCTATAAGATGTCAGCAGAGTTTCCTCTGCCTAAAAGCAGTGCTGAATTTGGCTATTCCCACCCCTGACTCATACCATCTTTCCATCTCTTCCCATCATGGCCTGTCTTCCTATTCGTGGACACCTCAAGGTGAGCGCTTCTTCTCCCAGCTGGACAGACTCCTCCTGCCATATTCCTGAGCGCATCTTTTGCCTTCCTCCACACATCCTCAATACCACGTCCAAGCTCAGGAACCCAATTACCATCTTCGAAGCTTTACCATTCTATTTTCTCCTCTCTTCTGTGCCTGCCCTTCACCATTCCCCTGTCTCTGCTAAAAGCTCTAGGTCTTTCCTCAGGCAGTCCCCTGAAAAAATTACACTTGGAAAACATGCACTTATTTCCACATCATCCAAACCACCACACAAGAGGAAAGTTAGCACTGCTTGTTCCAAACATGCAATGTATGGATGACAGCTCATCATAAACACACAGAGTGGCAGCCATAGATGTGGGAAGAGCACACAAGTGCTACACTGGAGCTGACAGCCTCCTTGCAAGAGACCAGTGCTCATCACTTACCAGCTGAGAGCCTGACTTCATTTCTCGCAAGGGTGAAAATGGCAGAAAAGCTTGCTGTGGAGCTGTGGTAGCACTACCAAGGCTACCTCAGACCCATGCACAGAACCATTTCATTTTACCTTTGGACTCTCCAAATCTCTACCTCAACAAGGTGGTTCAAGAAGCACATCATCAAAGCAACCACAGTACTGGAGAGAACATTCAGGCAATCGGATGCAAAGAGCATCCAAGATCTGGTCTGACAAACCTGTGAAAACTCATGGCTCAGAATTTTGGCTGAGTCAACATATCATAAAATGAGTCCAAAGGACTAGTAATTCAGATTAATAGCAGTGCAGTGAGAGAGATGTGATGGCCAGCTATCACTTGCTGTAATTGCAGGGAGGCCAGTTTGCAAGCACACTGAGAGCTGCATGTTTTCATGCAAGACTAAGCAAGCTCTATCAATTACATCATGCCACAGAATACTTCACCAGCTGAAGCTACTGAAGCATCCTTCCTAATATTGTACGACCAAGAAGTGCACTGGGCCTTCCCTTCCCAGTGAACACTGCTCTTCACAGAAGAGGCATTTCAGGCGCCTGTCCTGCCACCAAAACTGTCATGTCCCAGTGGCAAATGGGCAGAGGGGACACAGACACACAACAGTCCAGAAACTCTGAAGCAGGTGTTCTCCCTGACATATGGATAGAGGTTCCTGTAAGAAAGCGGCATCTTACTGCCACATGAATCCCAATACCACTCATCTCAAATAAGCTCACAAATCACATCTCACAATTCTCACATCTCAAAATGCTCACAAGGATCAAGCTTATCTCCTCAGGGCCAAGCCAAAGCCAGGGACCCCTCAGTAGTCAGGAGGGGGGCACATATTACACTGCTTTATTGCAAACAATAGCAGACCAGGAGAAACGGTATTGATTTAATTCACTGGAGATCTCGTCCCATTACTTTGTGCATACTTAAGGGATGTAGTAAAGCTGCTGACATGGCCCAGAGCTGGGCAGAATATAAGTAACTCTGGTTCGGAGGAAGAAACAACAAGAAAAGAACCTAAGAGGTTTGAAACCAGGAAAACAGGCTTGTTTACAAAGCCAAAAAGAGAGTGCAGCATATTCTGAGGCCAAGGGAATTATTCTTGCAACGTTACTTTGCCTTAGCTACCTGGCCACTCTCACATAAACAATGGAGACACACCAAGAAAGCAAGGAGACTTCACAGAGGTTATAAAAATATCACTTGTGTAATTAGACTGAATCAAAACTCATGACTTTCTGGTTGGAAGGAATGCTTGTGTTTCCCTCTCTTTCTCTCCTCTTCCCCCATCCCCCTCATAAAAATCTAGATAAACAAAAGCCCTAGGATATTGGATAGTTCCTTGTATATTGTTTTAAAGGCAGGAACAACAACAACAGCAACCACCGTGGTCAGGAGGAGTGCCTGAGCGGCGTTGCAGAGCCCCTGTTTTTCTGCTTGCAGAAGTTGTTCTCACCCTTGCTCTGTCCTGAGCAACGCCTGGCTGTGCTTCCTGTCCCACGGACGGAATACCATCGTGTTGTTAAGCGCCTCAGTGTTTTCCCACCACCGCGGCACTGCTTTGGAGGTGGGTCACATAAATAACTGCAGCAAATTGGATTTAAATTCCTACTTCTCTCCTAGACTTCATGGGCGATTCACTTACTCCCTCCTTATAGATGGATAACTGAAAACAGAAGAGGGAAAACAGCATTATAGGCTCCTCCTTCCTGAACTCTGCAAGGCAGGGACTGCGAGCTGCCTTGCACAAGAAGCCCACAGACCTGCAAGAGGCTGCTTGCAATATCACCCCCCACACCCACACTCACGACAGCTGCTAATATTCACCCTTTGAATAAGAAACGAGTGTTGCCAATTTTCAGCTTTCAAAAATGTTGTGTGTGGCCCTAGAGCAGAATGATATAGGCTTCAAAATAAAAAGTCTTAACCAACCCAAAAGTATTTGGAGTATTTTTCATCTGTTTTCTCATTTAGACCCTCGAGGCTTCATATTTTTAAGAGAAGTTGTTTTCTTCCAAGATCAAGAGAGCTGGAAATGCTAGTTTAAAAAAAATAAAAATAAATAGAAAGCTGAGAATCTCATTAAGCCTCTTGATTCCAGGAGCTCAAATAAAGACCAAAAGTCTCAAGTAAAATCCACAAACATTGCAAGCTTCACGATGATATTCAACAAGAGATGGCAACACTCAGTAAGCACAAGATGATAATTCCCACCTCACTGGATCTGGCTTTTCTTTTTCTCACCTCAGCTCATACAGCTATGTTTTTCTTCCCATAGGGACTCAATTTCTGGGCAAAAAAAATGATTCCCTACCATACAAAAAGGGGTATAACCCCATCTATCCACCAATTGCTTTTAAGATTCTTCAGTCCTGGAAGTTCTCCGAAAACCAATGGTTCAACAGAAGGGAAAAAAACAAAAAAAAAAGAAAAAGCAAGTAATGGTCCTAATGAGAAAAGCTGCATCAGGAGTCCCACATTTATCCCTGCTGTTAGTTTGCTGCTGATCAGCCAGCCTGTTTGCACCCAGGTTGCATTTTTCTCAGTCAGCGGTCATAGATATGGGGACAGGGATCCAGGGGCAGACCTGCAGGAAAGGAAGATCTGCACTAATCAAACCAGAGACCCTGAGATGGAGGAAAGACATGGTCTGTTCTTTGAGGGGCTCCAACCAAGACAGTGAGTGGATTCAGCAGGAAGTGTCAGGAAGATTAGATCTCCGCCTTGCACAGGAGCTCCTCTTGCTTTTTGCTTTTTATTTTATGCCAGGCAATCACAGACAGCGAAAAGAATAAAAGCAAACAACATTTAGAATGAAGACCATACTTTGCCTCTGCAATCATGGCAGCAGAAACTCTTCTCCCTAAGAGAGAAGAGCTTTGAAATATAGCAGTTCCTCCCTTCTTTGTACATTTGGTCCTAAACACACACTGAAATCATGCTGTGTTGCTTCATGCAGCGTATAGAAGCTTATTAATAAAGGAATCTCACTGAGGGATGTAAGACACACATTTCATTTGGGTGACTGTAAAAAGACATATCATCGCTGCCTTCTAGAGGTGAAATCAAGAAAAGATAGTAGAGCAACACACTACCTTCAAGTATTAAAATACAAGTAGCTTTCACTGCTCTCAAAAGGTGTTGATCCAATGAAAACATGAAACATAAGTCAATAGATCGGCGTGGAAAATATTATAGCAGTCAAATAGGCTGCTCCAATAACACTACCTCTACCCACAGGTATGTTTGAAGGAGATGGGGAAAGAAGGGAAAAAGAGAGAAGGTTCTGTGCTAAATATCTGAGAAATTTGGGCTTGTTTGGGGATGAGGGTTTCTTTTTGCAGAAATCCCACCCACTACCAGGGAGCTGCACATGATCCATAATGCCAGAGACTGCTGGGTGATGGAAATACTCCTCACGAGCCACTACAAGCAACTACAGGACCTTCCAGTAATCATAGCAAAAACTCAAATTAGGGCCACTTACATGTAACACAGTCCTGGTCCAGCTGCTTCTTCATGCCAGTGGCAGAGCTGTGACCAGCAAAGCTGTGCTGTACCTCTTCTCCCTGAAGATCACCTGTGCCACCAGCTTCCATACTGCTTCCTAGCCTTTCATTGAGGGCCAACACTGTACAAGGGAATAGGTCTAAAACTCATTTTGACTTTGGAACTTGGTATGTGGGCGCTCTCACTCCAAAGAGCAATAAAACCAGTTCTGTAGGTTGCAGTGGTCCCTCTGTTTCTAGTCCCCCTGTGTGCATGCAGAGGTCCACGTAAAGCCAGACACCACCACGTATTTTCAAGAGGACATGCAAACAGCAGCCTTACAACAACCTCCTGGATGCATGTCCATAAGACAAATCTAAGAAGGGTAGAGGCTGTGTGCAGCA